CACGGCCGCGCTCGCCTTTTGTTCGCATTCCCACCCCTCGGAAGACGCTTCTGGAGTCCTTAAATGGGAACGGAGCTCTGCTCCCGCTCCGGAGCTGCGCGCCTGAGTCTGGGGCTGGGTCTCGGAATTCTTGGCTGGGGGAAAAAAAAAGAGAGAAGGAAGCGTGTTCGGTGCGGGGATGAAGGCCGGACTAAGTGCTCGGCCCGCCCTCCAACTTGGCTGCGGGAGGGTGCCGGGTTTCTCACTCTGTCCTTGTGAGTTGGTTCACCTGTTGTTCTGCGCGGCCTCCGCTGCCATGTCTGTTGTGATTCTGCACTTGGATTTCGGAAAACTTTGTGCCGGATTGCGTGGACATCCCCCACTCCTTCCAGACTCCTAGCGGAAAGAAAGAAAAAAAGGAAGAGAAAAAGAGAGAAACGAGTCAAGAGAGAATAATACTCTGTGTGTTAGTGCCTGCCGGTTTGTTACTTGTAAGAGTCCGTCGTAGTGTCGTCGATCTTTTTCATTTGGTTAAGGGGCTGCCGGTTTTCTCTTTTAAACGGTTCACAAACTGTTCTGAGGACACGATACGAGCTCGCGTCACGTCATTTACTTATTGAGATAACCCTGGTTATTGTATTCTGTGTTGCTTTAGAGGAGGAAACCGAGACGCAGAGGTTAAGTAACTTAGATACGTGAGCTGGAATTGCACTCAGGGACGTCGTATTCAAGAGTATGACCGCCTTACAAAAGCAAATTGTGCATCCAGTTCGGCATGAAATTCTGTGTTGCCTGAGTCGTAAACGACTTCTGTTTTTGCTCGCGAGGGGAAATTAAAGTTGGGGATAAAGTACAGGGTAATTTATTATTGTTCTCAGTTGAACAAAAGGGATGGCGAACCAAAATTAGCTTTTTACGGTCAAAACTAAAATATTAACACTTCTGTAGGAATTCTTATGGAAGGCAGATTAAAACTTGGAATGCATTTTTCATTGAAGCGATACTCTTGCCTCTTGCTTTATGTGTTCCTTCTCACATTCTCAGTGGTGCCCTTTCGGGCCTTTTTAACTGCCCTTATGTTTCCCCACCCGTTAAGAGGGCAGCATCCGGTGGGTGCTCTTTGCTTTGGATGCCTACTAGAGGACCCCAAACCACTTCACTAATGAACACCTAGAGTCATCTCCTTTCCCACCTATTGGAGCGTGAGCTCTGTTGTCTTGTTTTGTTGTTGTTATTGTTGGTTTTATAATCAGAGTTTCACTACGTCGCTCAGGTTGGCCTCAGAACTGGCCGTGTAGACCAGGCTGGTATTTTGGGGTTTTTAAAAGTACACGTGTACTTAGGATCCCTCAGTTTACAAAAACTTTTCTATAGTTTTGCTATTCTCTCATGCCCTGTTGTGTTTTCTTTTCAAGTTGTTAACATTTTGAAGTTTTTTTTTCTTATAAAAGTAATACACGGTCGTTAAAGAGAAATTGCAAAATAGAGCAAAGTTGAAGATAAATTAAAGTACAGTTACCCATAATCCTTTCTGGAGAGACTGCTAGGAGTAGACTTACTTTTCCTCCCTGGACACTGGTGATTATCGACTTAACTCCTTATACACAGGTTTTCATATTCAAGAAGGAACTGTATAGCTGAATGAGATGGAAACTGTTCTGAGACCCGAAGTGTCTGTTAGGGAGGAACTTGTCAGACTACATCCCAATCTGGGCTGACATCCCACAAAAGTGTCCTTGTAGTTCCCTGCTCTGTGTGTTTCCTCCGAGGAAGATGTACTAAGGCTGGGGGGCAACCACATGGGCTCCCTATACTCGTGGAGCTTAAAAGTCTAGTGGGGGAGATGTGTGGAAGGATGAGTTCTATGTAATTAAGTGTAATTGTGATGATAATTCAAGTGTAGGGTATTATAAAAGCTTAAAGTGGAGACCTGACCTGGTGCCGGAGTTGCTGAGAGAATCTAGGAAGACCTCTCTAAAAATGTTATTTTTGCATCCTGACACAATTATGAAGGGAGAAAGAATTAGGTGAAAAGGGGACCTCTGACGTGGTGGCTTTACTCTCTTTTTGCCTTCTTTCTACCTCTGTTCTTCTCCTTTTTCCTAATTATTCTAAATGGTTTCCAGGTTTCACTTTTCACATCACTTTAAAAAAAATGGTTCCTAGGAATTATTACGTTTATTTCTGTGTGTGCTGCCTTGGCACACCAGTGGAGGCCAGAGGGCACCTTGCAGGAGTGAGTCTTTGATTTCACCACATGTGTCCTGGGAGTTTAGGTCCTCCAGCTTGGATGGTGGCACACACCTTTACCTGATGAGCCTTCTGACTGGTTCTCCCATGAAGTATTCAGATTTTTCTGTCTGATTATTTCTCAAATTCTGATTTGCCTTCTGAACTTGATGCCTTCTGGTTGCTTTATGTAAGAAACTATACCTGGTAGTCTAGTTCAGATGAGCTCTTCCTTAGCGGTTGGATTATGGTGCTATCCCTGTTAACGGAGCATGTCCTTCCTGAGTCTAGTCTGTAGCCAACATCTGCAGCTCCTTCTTTCTTTCCTGATACCTTGACTCTTTGTATTCCTGCCAACTCTGATACAAGTCTTAGTTTGTGCTGCTGTTGGGATTATAATATTTAGAATAACTGGATAGCAAGAGCAGTTTGGACTGGGATTATTGCCCTTAAACGACTAGAATATATATATATATATATATATATATATATATATATATATAAAATCATTTATTTAGACCTAGCTTTTTTTTTTTTCTGGAGAAGACTTTTCAATTTACTTAATAACTATTGGTTTGTATAAAATTTCTATTTCTTGTGTGAATTTTAGAGTTTCATATTTTTTTAAGATTTGTTTTATTTTTAATTAGTCATATGCATGCATGTCTCTAGGTGGGCTTGTATGTGCTTGTGAATGTGGGTGTACAGGAAGGTCAGAAGAGGGTGTTGGGTTCCTTGGAGCTGCTGGAGTTTCAGGCAGTTATGAGCAACTCAGAGTTGATCCTGGGAAGCAAAACTTTGGCCCTCTGAAAGAACAGCAAGTGCTCTTACTTTCTGAGCCCTCACTTTAGCCCTGGGTTTTGTATTTTTTTTTCCAGGCATTTATTTCTTGAGTTTCCTATAAACAGTTTGTTTTAAATGTATTCATCCTCCAGACTCCCAGATTCACCCTCCACCTTCATCTCCCTATCCACATCCACCCAACTTTGCCTTTTCTTCTTTAAAACAATTTCTTTGTGGTTGTTTTTTTGAGACAGAGTTTCTCTATGTATAGCCCTAGCAGTCCTGGAACTTGATCTGTAGACCAGGCTGGCCTTGAACTCAGATCTACCTGACTGCCTACCAAATGTTAGGATTAAAGATATGTGTCATCACTGCTTAAAATTTTTTTAAAAATAAACTCATTGTTCAATTTGTGTTGCTCAGCTACTCTTGAGTCAGGCCTGCCTTGAAGTATGGTCAGCCTACCAGGGACCAAACCATTGAATAAAATTAACTCCGTCTCTTAGTAGCTATCAAATACAATAACTCTTCAGCTTCTGGTGGGATTTCATGCCCACCCCTCACCCCCATGTTGGGGTTTTGTCTGGTTTGAGTTTGTACAGGTCTTATGCATGCTGTCATAGCCTCTGTGAGTTTCTTTGTGTAAGTGCCCTGTTGTGTTCAGAAAAAACACCATTTCCTTGAAGTTGTTCACCACCTCAGTCTTCCCGGTCATCCCTTTTTACCAGATCCTTGAACCTTTCTTGGAAGGGTGTGATATGTTGGTTCCATTTAATGTTGAGCACTCCAGGAAGCACAAATTTTAGTTGGTCTTAATAATAAAAACCCAGAGTCAGATATATGGGTTAATGCTGAAGATCAGAGAAGCAGAGCGACCAGCTACTAGAGAGTTCTTTTATTTCTACCAGTGCTCAGACCAGAGGGGCAATCCTGTCCCTCAGACTGCATCTCCAGACTTTGTCTATCTCCACCAAACTTCAGACTACACTGAGCTCCTGTCTCCACTTCTTTAGTGCTTTAGCACTTGGAATCACATTTGTGTGAGCTTTCTCTTTTAAACAGATTCGATCTTGTGTATCCCAGGGTGGCCTTGAATAGAGATCCCTCTGCCTCAGTCTTCCTAGGCCTGGGATTAAAGGTGTGTGCCACCACTCCATGGCCTCCAATGGTTTAGCTCTGCACTCTGATCTTCAGGCAAGCTTTGTTTGTTAAAACGTAAACAAAATATCCCTTCAGCTCCAGTCTCTTACTCCCCTGTGCACATTCACCAGTTGTGGGTCTCTGTGTGAATTGCCATCTATTGTAAGAAGCTTCTCTGATGAGGACTGAAAGAGGGACGGATCTGTGGGTAGAGCAATAAGTCATTAGCAGACATTTTAGTACTAGGTCTATTTAGCAAAATATTGATAATAAGTTCTCCACTAGGGCCTTCAGTTTCTTGGCCCTGTTAACAGTGCTAGGCATGGATTCCATATCATGATGGAAGAAAATTATTTGGAGTTTACTTGGTTTTCATGTAGTTCCCCCTTCTACTTTAATTTCTACTATATTTGTCTCCTGTTTAGTTCAAGGTTGGTGGAATCTCATGGAAAAGAAGACTGTCCACTGTATTTTATTCTGTTCTTGTTAAGGGACAGAGTCTTGTATTGTTCAGGCTGGACCCAAATTCCTGGGACAAATCTTGCAAGTAGCTGGGAATTCAATTGCCTGTCATCATACCTAGTTTATATTTAGTTTTTCAAAGTAAATTATAAGACAGGTGTGGTGGTGCATCCTTAAGCCCAGCATTTTTGAGATGGAGGCAGAGGGGGATCTGAAGTTCAGAACCAACTTATTACACCAAAAACAAGCCAGACATGGTGGCGCACACTTTAATCCCAGGTCTTGAGAGGCAGGCAGATCTCTTAATCGAGGCCAGCCTGGTCTGCAGAGCGAGTTCCAGAACAGCCAAAGATACACAGAGAAACCCTCTCTTGAAAAACAAACAAACAAACAAAAAACAAAACAAACCTAAAACAAGTAAAGTTAAAAATGTCTTTGAATTTTTTAAATTAAATTATTATTTTAATGTGTGCCAATCTTTTCATTCAGTATTTTATTTTTATTTTTTCAAATCAGGATTCTTTTTATACCTCAGGCTGGCCTTGAACTCACAGAAATCTGCCTGCCTCTGCCTCTTGGAGTGCTGGAATTAAAGACATGCCACCAGAGTTCCAGGGTTCTTAAAAAAATAAAGTTGGGAGCCAGGCCGTGGTGGTGCACTCTTTTAATCCCAGCACTTGGAAGGCGGAGGCAGAAAGATTGCTGTGAGTTCCAGGACAGCTAGGGCTACACATTGAAACCCTATCTTGGAAATGTTAAGATAAATAAACAAATAAATAAAGTTGAGTCTGTCTTTGAAATCACAGCACTCTGGAGGCTCAGGTAGAAGAATTAAGAATTTGAGGTCAGTGGTTCCCCCCCACCCCCCCCAGCAATG